AGTGGGACCAGGTGTAAGGTCTTGTGGGTAGACAGAAGGAATTTAAACCAGGGCGAGGCCAGACACCCGCACCCACAAGCAACAGAGGGAAGGAGATCCACGAGAACCACTGCTGGTCTCTTCATTAGTGGCAGGTTCTCAGCTTCCAAGGACAGCAGGCGGACTGGATCCTGTCCCATTAAGTCTAGTATCTATTTAATAAGTGTGCCTCATCTACCACCTTGGTGACATCTTCTCTCTAGATGCATCTGGGGAGCATCTGGGAAGTTTTTTTATCTGGATACCACCAGGCCAGTATGGCATTAAGAGTGAGCTGTCAAAGCATCCTCTCCCAATGGGGCTGGCAAGAAATGCGAGATCCCCTGACAAGACTAGACGGTCACATGTTGGGACCAGCTCTCCCGCGTCCGTGCTCATGGTCCTTGCTCAGTGGTCCCCCTGGTTCTCTTCCCTGGAGCCGTTCTCACTCCAGTCCAAGTTCCCACCTCAGGGACAGCAGCTTGTGAGGGAGGCTGGCTGAACATAATGAACACATGGAAACCCTGCATAGAGACCCAAGCCAGCTAGAACTTCAGAGCATGGTTCTCCATCCTGGCTGCATCCTGGAATCTTGTGCAGCTTAAAAACAAAACAAAACAAAACGAAACTGCTGCCCTGCCCAGCGCCTCCCTCCCACTGCCATCTGCCAGGTCTGGCATGTTTTAGAGCTTCCCAAGTGATTCTGCCATGCAGCCTGGGCGGAGAAGCACTAATCCGAAAATCAATTCCTTCCACCCTTGCACTCATTAAACATCTAAATCACAGAGGGGTACAAGCGGGAATGGAACGGCTTCCTGCAAAAGAAAAGTCTAAAGCCAGAACAGTATCTTCTGCCACTGAAAGGACACGCGGCGAGTCACATCCTGCCGGAAGAATCACTTAGCCCACCGAGACCACAATGCGAGGCAAGAGGGAGATGGCAAACCAAAAGGATTCCTACGGTTGAAGAGGGAGAAGGTCAAGGAGCTCCCTATGAAATTACTACGTAGTCAGCTGAATAACAGCACTGCCTATTGGTTGGCAAAAATGTAAGATTCTCCCGCTTTTCGAGGGCAAATAAGAATTTGTTTTTTCCTCCAGGTAATTCCCCCCCTTGGCAGGAAAGCTGCTTTGGCTGGCAGGGGACAGGCCGGGGTGAGAGCAGGTGAAGAGGAGTGAACGGGCGTCCAGGGGGCTCCGCTCCGGCGTCAGGCTCCGCCCAGCCTTTGGCTCCTCCCCCCTCTCCGGTTCCGCAAAGGGCAAGCTGAAGAATGCAGCCGGACTCAAGACAAGAACTCCCGATCCCAACAAGATTTTTCAAAAGAAGAAAGAAGCCCATGCGCAAGAATGACTCTGGAAGGCAGGTCACCCCAGATGGTAAGATCCAGGAGGGCTGGCCCACACCTGCTCAGGCACAGAGAACGTGCTGGTGCATACCTGGTGAACCCACAGACCAGTGAATTTACCCACAAGGGCTATTTTCAGTCCCTCTATATTTTCTGGCAAACCCTTAAAAGTCTAAAAGGGTCATATATGGGCTCATTTCGTTTTTATTTTTATTTTTTTTGTCAGAGCCACAACCAGTTAGAATTAGTGATGGGAGGGAGGTAACCAATCCCTGACATCCACCGCAAAAGGAGATGTAATTTGCTAGAAAGATCTAGCTGGGTGTGGGTATCTGGTCCCACACCTCACACAAGACACTGTGCATCGAGCTTGACCCCATAAGACATATACCAGTCCTTCATTCAAAAGGGCCTATCCCGCCCATCCTGCACACACAAGGGCCTTACTGATGCGTGCCATCCCACACAGTGAAAATCAGTCTATCCAGCCAAAGACTGCAAAACCGAGGCCGGTTGGTCCTCAGTCATTATATTATTGTTGTTGTTATTGTTATTAAGAAATTATTATCTTACTAAAGGTGAAGGAAATACATGGCTTAACACTTAAGGATTCCAAGAACCTCAGAACACCATTTTCAATTTTGAGGTGAAAAAAGCAGCCCACTGTTTCAGTAAACTAAGTTTCTTCATAGACATTATGGCTAAAATGACGCCAGAAGTGGGTGCAGACTGGATCCCCACCCTCGGGAAAGGTGAAGCCAGCACACGGACAAGCTTTCAGGCTTCATGTGAGTGAAGCAAAACTGTCCCTAACATCTGCTGCACATAAAGTTTGCCTCTGTTTCTAGGTCAAGTTTGTCTCCATATCTGGATAACTGGAGTTCACAGATAAAAATAAATTACTAAAGGCAGAGGTTATGAATTTGCTAATCGTACAGCTTATGCGAAGTAATGATAATGCTGAGATCGCATGGCCTCGTAAACAATAAAGCGTTCTTTATAGAAAGAGCTTCTAGCTCAAGCCCTGGATCATAAGGAATGCACCCATAAGGAAGGGCTAAATACCTTCCCAGGGCAGCCAATTTTAGAAATGCTTTTTTTTTTAAGATTTTATTTATTTATTTGACAGAGAGAGACACAGTGAGAGAGGGAACACAAGCAGAGGGAGTGGGAGAGGGAGAAGCAGGCTTTCTGCTGAGCAGGGAGCCTGATGCAGGGCTCGATCCCAGATCATGACCTGAGCCGAAGGCAGACGCTTAATGACTGAGCCACCCAGGCGACCCTAGAAATGTTTTCTTTATGTGAAACGAAAAGCTGAAATTTGCCTCTTTGCAAGTTCCACCCAGGGCTTCTGGCCTGGCCTTGCAATTGTAATACTAAACAAGAACACATTCTGAGATGTGAATTCAGCTCTCAGGCCTCTCCTTGGCCATCTCTCCCCCAAGTCCTTCAGCCACTCCCTGAATCACTAGGGCTCTCAACTCCTTTCCAACCTGGCTCTGCTCCACTAAATGTGCTCATCTGTTGATGTCCCTTTTCCATGTTTCTAACTTTAAAAAAAAAATTTATTCACATCAAGGGCTGCAGCAATTGAGATTTTAAAGCATCCTTTTGTGGTGGAAGTTAACATGATGTGCAGGGCAAACACACTAATTCTTACTACCTGATTTAGGTAGTGGCTTAAATTTAGAATAAAGTCTCTCTTCTTTCCAGTGCCCAGGCACCGTTGAAACCCAGCTGGCCCCGAGGTAGTGCTCACTCTGATGATGCCGTCCTAAATTTCAGCCTGCGATTTCATTCTGATGCCTGTGTCTTCTAGACCACATCGTCCGGACTTAGAGAAACTTATTTGGGAGATATTAAATCACAGGTAGAAAAGCAAGGCCCATGGACAGTGATCTTTATACGCTTCCCTATTTTCATATATCGATTTTCCCCTGCTCCCTTCAAATTGGTATGTCCATTATATTCCACAAGTTAGAAAACAGAAGAATCCTAAACCACTTGAAAGTGTCTTTTGGAGAAGGATCTCTGATCGGGGTCCCAATCTTAAACCCTGACAGATAATAACCGAAACAGAAGCCCACCGGTAGGAGGCTTTTGTTCCCTGGTTCGCTAAGGTAAAATCTAAGAACGGTGCACACCACCTCCTTGTGGCGAGTTGGGAGAAATGCAGGGCTCCACAGTCAAAGAGCCTCATGGGCAAACAGGGACACCCTTGCCCTAGACTTCTTGTGTGTGAAATTCAGAAGCAGAAAAGCTATGATCTGACAGCCATAGTTCCCCGAGATGCTAACTTAAGTATGATGAAGCAATGCTTTTCCTGGGGAAACGTGCTCCTGACACCTAGCTAGTGTTGACACCTGGGCAGGATCTACCCATCATGGTCACGCCTGCCTGGGTGTGCAGTCAGAGTGCAGAGGGGCTCCTCGTTCTTCTATTCTGCTCCATGACACTCGCAGATGAGCCAACATAAGACTCACAGGAGTCGACACACTATGACTGCAATTCTTGTTTAGGCAATAGATTTCACCTAATATATATGTTTATCCGACAAGAGAAAAAAAAGTATCCCTCCCCAACCTCACAATCCCCTGACCTTAACCTCACTCCACTAGTATCGCCAACATTTTAGAGATTCATAAACATACTTTTAATCTTCCCTTTGACTGTTACGTGTGTGATTTATTAGTAGACATGCTTTTAATTTCAATAATTCATTAAGAGGTAACTTCTCAGTGTAGTGCTTAATATAAGGAAAATGTTTTTTTCTCAGTTTTTCCACTGCCAACCAAATGTTTAATTAAATTAAAGCCCTTTCGATGCGAGATAGAGAATTAGACCGTCGGGAATTTATAACCCTGTTAGGACTAACTGTTCCTTTTTTTCTACCCGGTTTATTAATAGCGAGAAAGATACAGTAACATGTGATTTGCTATACCACAGCTTGGGCTTTCTTCTACCGATCTCCACGAGAAAGAGAGACAGATTAGAGTAACACAGTTAAAAGATTTCTTTTTTCTCTGGCAGAAATATAAATGTTCAACTTACCTGTTTCCGTTTAGAAAAACAGAGAAGTAAGCTATGTCCAGCATAGAGTAAACATACAACTTGGTCTGACATCCCACAGACAGATGGAGAGAGAAAGAATGGAGAAGAGAATGAGGGAAGAGGGGAGAGGAGGGGGGCACAGACAGGGAGCAGGGGAAAAAGAGACACCTGTCCACCGAGGAAGAAAGGATGGAGTGGCCCCTGGGAGAGAGACAGCCAGGTGCAAGCAAGTACAGAGACCTGAGCTAAAGGAAACTTTCCTTGTCACACCCGCGGGTCCCCTGAGCTGTAGGCACCCCCTTGGGGAGTCGCTGCCCTCTGAAAGCCATGAGCTAATGAACTCGGCTTCCCAGCCTTCTTAACTGTAACCCTTTGATCTGATTAGAAGGATAATCACCAGTCCCTGACGGGGCGGGGGGGGGGGGGCATATGAGGAAATTTCCCTCTGGGCCATAAAGACAGTGGCCTGAGTACGTTCGCTCATGAGCCAGGGAAAACTGAGCTGAGAGTCAGAGCTGGCTCTCGGGCTGACGTGTCCCCATGACAGGCAGCCATCCTGGCCCGTGACCCTTCCCAGGGGCTTACCTCCTCAACCATCTGCTTGACTTTCTTCTGCTGGCAATGCACCATGTCGTCCAGGTGCCGGATCCGTTCCCGGAGGCTGGCAGACGCCTCCTCCAGCTGCTGATACCTAACACAAAGAGCAGAGCGAGCCATGGGGTCCTCAACCAGAGCAGCACCACCAGCGCTGGGAGTCCCGGCTGATGGGACCATCGCCCAGAACACGAAAGGCAGCTCCACCACACATTCTTCCTGCTCCATGAGTCTCCGGGGGAATTCACTCCGGGTGGTCGACTACCCCACCACAGGAGGAACACGGGACTCCTACTCGAGCTCCCACTTGCAAGGTTTACCTTGTGTAAGGACAGCAACACTACTTTCCAGGGCCTGAAACAGAATTTTGGGGGCACCACTTACAGAATGGGGGGCTCTCTGTTCTGGAGTTAATACAATATTATACACTATACATTATACAAGTCAAATGCCTTGAACTGGAAAAAGGAGAAGGAGAGGAGTCTAGTACAACACGGTATCTGAAATCAAGGGGCCAAGTCCTGGGAAGTCTGGAACTGTAGTTGCCTACACACCATTTATTTTGGGAAACTGGGAAACACAGTGAAAGAACTTCTCTGCATCAAAACAGATGGGGCCGCTTCCTAAGACGCTTCATAGTTCTGTCTTAAAACAGCACAAATTATCCTCTGACTTTGCTTGGTTCAGTGAAACCAAAGGAACCAGCAGACACTCTTCAGTGCTTTGGGGCCACTGGAATGGAGCCGTGGACAGAGGGCCTGGTGGTCGGCTTACCCCTCCCCTCTCTGCCAGGCTACATTAAAGTCTACAGAAGACCGCCAAGTCTGAAGTTGCAGAGAGGAAGGAAAACAGACATTTTTCAGCACAAACCACGTGGCAGGCAGCATGCCCCCCAGCTCCCTCACAGTTAGTGACCCAATGAGACGGGCACTGCCCTCCTCACCGTAACCCCCTCCCCCTTTAAGAAGAATTCTCCATTTGCAGATAAGCAAGGAATCTCAGCAAGGTTAAGCAATTGGCTCAAATTGCTCAAATCATCCCAAACTTGTTTTCCTTCACCAGAGGGCCGTGCACGGCCTCTCTGCCTTCCGATTTCTAGTGGAGACCACGTACTACTCCATTATTTTCGATGCAGGGCTTTATATGCCCACAGCCAGGGCACAAGGCCAGGTTTCAGTAAACAATGTATGGAAACAAAAAAAGACATTTTAAAATCAGTTCCCATTGCAGAAGTATTAGTCACAGCTAATGAGTCTTCTCATCAACAAGGTGCATCCTGTGGAGTTGAAGGTTATGGAGAACATTTATAGACTGAACTTTTGCACCCGAGACAGCCTGTGCTGTGTCTCTCTGCAGTAACAACCAGCCATGGGCTGCGAGACGTGGCTGTGAGCTCCTAAAGAAACTGGCCCCATAGCGGAAGCTCTCAGCCCGTAGTGGAAGCTCTGCAGACTTTTACACGTAGGAGTCTGCAATAGTGATGACCAAATGAAGGAAACTGCAAGGCCCTGGTGAGCCCACAAAAACGCAGCATGTCCGCCGTCCACGTCCATTACAAGCTGAAGGGCATTCGTCTTACCTTTCCTTGTCAGAATCCATTATCTCCCCTGACATTTCTGTTTCATGGTCCAGGAGCTGGAGTTGCAGCTGATGACGTTCCTAAAACAGACACCGATATTTGAAGCAGTGGGTCCCACGCTGGACAGAGAATGTATATCTAGCAATTCCAGCACTAGTGGGGTCAAGTCTATAGAACTCCCAGTGGGGTCTACGCATCCACCCACCAGAGTCCAAACAAAGCTCAAAAATGCCACATCTCCTGGTGTACGTTTATGGATGTATTGATGAATTAGAGACAAATACCCCAGATAAAGCCATTCAAGGTTTCTTTTTAATGGGGCGCCTGGGTGGCTCAGTCCGTTGTGTCCAACTCTTGGTTTTGGCTCAGGTCATGATCTCAGGGTCATGAGATCGAACCCCATGTCAGGGCTCTGCGCTCAGCACAGAGTCTGCTTGAGGATTCACTCTCTGCCTCGGCCCCTCCCCCTGCTTGTGCACACTCTAATAAATGAGTCTTTAATAAATAAATAAACAAGTATTCCATCCTCTTAGGTTCAGATATCTTGTGAGAATTTATAGTTCTAAAAAATGAAAATCCATACTCTTAAGTCAGTGGCCTGTGATACTGCAAAATTCTTGATTATTTTCTGCATCTCCGGAATTTGGGTAATATCCTATGTACTAACCTGGGTGGTGTTTACACAGATAGGTTCACTTGTAAAAATGTATTGTGACAGGATAATAATGGGTGCCCCCCGCCTACAATGATGTCCACATCATTGAGACCTGTGAACATGCTGCCTTACCCAGAAAAAGGAACTTTGCAGAGGGGATTAAGTTAAGGGTCCTAAAAGGGGGGGGGGGGGGAATGACCCTGGATTATCCAGCTGGGCCCTTACTGGCAGGAGGAAGAAGGGCTGGAGCCAGAGAGAGACAGAGCCTGGAAAGGGCCACACTGCTGGCTTTGAAGCTGCCGGCTGGAATCCTGAGTCAAGGAATGCAGGCAGCCTCTAGAAGTTAGAAACGCTGAGCAAATGGACTCTCCTCTAGAGCTTCCAAAAGGCACCCAGCACTGCCAGCACCTTGATTTTAGCACTTCTGATCTCCAGGACTATAAGATAATAAATTGGGGTTGTTTTAAGCCACTAACAGTGGTGATTTATTATAGCAGCCATAGGAAACTAGCACATATATCAAACTGCACATAAAGATATGTACCCTTTGCTTTATATATGCAAACTTAAAAGTCTATCCAAAAAAGGTAATGTAAGAATATGGACTATTATTTCTTCAGACAAAGTGGAAAATGTTAATAAAAGCGTAGCACCCAGGGACGCCTGGCTGGCTCAGTCGGTTAAGCGTCTGCCTTCGGCTCAGGTCATGATCCCAGGGTCCTGGGATCGAGTCCCACGTCATTGGGCTCCCTGCTCAGCAGGAAGCCTGCTTCTCCCTCTCCCTGCTGCTCCTCCTGCTTGTTCTCTCTTTGCTGGTCAAATAAATAGATAAAATCTTAAAAAAAAAAAATGTAGCACCCATCATAACCAAAACTGCTCTAGAAATACATTACAGATGTTGGTGTCGTAGATTTCCTTCAAATGAAATTTATCAAAGCCTGTTCACTATATTGGCAGGAGATTATTTTACATTAGGCCCTAAGTACTCCTGTGCGTCATCATCATTCTCAGAAATTCTCCCAACAAACTCTTACTGCCAAATTATTAAAAGCAAATCTTTGAAACTTTAACTCCCATAACTCCTGAAGTTACAAGCCGTGGTATCCCTAGGAACAGACTGAAGAGATGGGGCAACAATCCGCCCTCGCAGGAAGAGTATACATTATCATTGATGGATTTAGCATCGTCAAGGAAGACCAACTTTTAGTGGGGATCTGTTTTTGCTCTTAAATCTCTCCAGCAAAGACACAGCGTGGTTCGCTGCTGGCTGGAAGTCTACAACAGCCCTGAAATAATAGTGATGGACCTTTCAGAAACGAGCACCCCCATGGCAGATGCCCAAAAAAAGCCGTTATAGAGCAGGGTAAGGCCTCACTTCCGGCACACTTTAAAAGTTCGATTTTTTTTTTTCTAAATTGAAGTACAACAAATCCTAAAAGCACACTACATGATGATTTCTTACATTTGTATATGCCCGTGAAACCACCACCCAAGCAGACTATCACCTCTCCTGCAGCAGGGTCCCTGAGAGGTCACACTCCTTAAAAGGTTTCTACTAATCAGGAAAAAAAAAAAAAAAGGTGTTTTGAAAATCCAAAAATAGGCACAAGCAGGCTAGGACGCTGCCAGCGTTCATGCCTGGGGAAACGCTGCTCACGGGGTGTGGGAGAGGCATCTGACCTCTTCTGCTCTGAAATGGGGATCTCTGAGGGAGAAGCAGCAGTCAACTGGACTACCTAATCCTAGCGAAATAAAGCAAGCCTATCTCTCGCCTAAATGGGAAAGGGGATTTAGAGAAAGGACAATCCATTTTCATTCACTACAGAAAAAGCCAATGGGACTTGGGGAACACCGTGTGTCCCATAAGTGCTGGCAGGGAAGGCTGGCCCTCCTCCCTCCCCGGCCTCCCGCCCATCGCCTCTCACACAGGCTCCATGGGGAAATGAGTGGGGGAAAAATACTATTTTCAGAATCTCAAGGGTACAAAGAAGATAAGCTAGAAAAAAAAAAAGTCCAGCTAAAAAAAAGCTGACTCTGGGGGCAGAGACATAGACAAGTCTGTAACAAAATAAAAATCGGAGCCCCACATTTTTGAGCCATGACTATATGCCAGGCACTGGGCTAGGCACTGTGTGTGGACTTTTTTCGTTTACTGCTCACAGCGCCTTAAGCAGAAGAATGATGAGTATCAGCATGTTACAGAAGAGGAAACTCAGTTTGGAAGAGTCAAGTAACTGCCCACAACTAGAAAGAGGGCAAGATTCAAACCCTAGGTCTATCTGATTCTAAAACCCATATTTTTAGCCACCTCATGGGCAGGAAGTTGGCTTCCTACCCAAACCAGGCTGCCCGCTCACTTTGTGCCTGAATATGGCAGGAGAATCTGTCACCCATAGGGAGCATTCACATGACCAGTATCTTCTGCTGTTGCCAGGGAGAGGGAATATGGGAGAAAGCTCACCTAAGTTCTAGAAAATGCCATCACTGTCCAATCTTTACTACCACTGCCAACCAATCCTGATGTTAGTCTTAAGCATGCTGCTTTACCCTCTTCTCTTCAATAAAAAATAGGATTCTGTTTTCCCAAGGAGGAGAGGTGACACTGATGGACGCTTCACTTTGTTCAAGTCCCTCCCAAACAAAGACATTGCCTAAAGTGGGAGCCCCCACAAGCCCCGAAGCTCCAGAGTACGAAGCTTCATGCCATCCCCACCCTGGTTACACCTTGCCTCATCAGGGGACCGTAGGGGGGTCTTCGCTGCAGACACCAGAGGTGAGGAGACAGACCTCTCTCAGAATCACTGGAAGCCCCCGTGTTGACCTTGCGTACACTGTCATTCTCCCTGGCTCATCACCAACAAGGGGGTTGCTCAGCATGCGTTACCGGGGGCTCTGATGTCACAGTCTTGGCAGGCGGCCACTGCCCTGCAGACCCACATGCTGCTGAGAGCCATTCTCCAGAAACCAGCCACAGCCTTGTCCCCAAACTACCCTCCCCCAGAAGTCAGCTGTCACCTGCTAAAGGTCACCCTGCCTTTTTCTTCTTTCCTGCTTCTTCTCTTTCCTCTTTCCCACCCCTTCATCCCGTTTTCCATGTTTTGCCTAACGTCCGGCTTCCTCCCTCGCTCTCAACTGGCTTCATTACCTCAGCTGAGCTCCTGCCTTCCCCCACCCACCCCATCCCCACCCACGCCCACAGAAACAGGGTGTCCTCCACTTGGCTGGCAGATGTGGGGTGTCCAAGAAAAGCCAAACTTCCAGATGCATGCCCACTCAGGGTATGGATGGAACACTCAAAGAAGGCTTGGTTACTCGATGAGTAAATGGAAGTTCGTGCTTGGGACCCCAGCAAAGCAGGGTGCGAAAATACTAGTTTTTGTAAATAATTATATACGGAATGTTTTTTAAAGTATCAAAATAGTTACCATAGGAAAGATGAGAACTTTGTCGGACCTCCTCACCCTTTATTTTATAGCTTTGTCTTTCCTGTTTCAATCACAAATTGGAGGGACGGGCAGGAGGGGTGCTGAAGGCACCTCACACCTTCAGACAGGCCTGCCGGGACCACAGAGGGGCGGGAGTCTGGGCAAGTGGGCGCTGGGCCCAGAGCAGTGTCTGTTACCTTTTCCATGCGCTCAATCAGCCTGTCCAGCTCTCCGATCCTCTGGTCCTTCTCCTCGAGGCTGATCTCTGCCGCTTCCATCTTTTTATTGGCTTCTTCAATAGCTTTCAGAAAATTCTTGGTTTCTTCCTGCAAAAGAAGCACATTGTTCTCAGCACTGCCTTGGAGTCGCGAGGCTGCTAACTATGGTCCAAACAGCGCCGGCCTTGCTAAATCATGATGTCTCTCTAAAAGCACACCCTTGGGGCTTAGGAGTGTAATGAACTCAGATCAGGGACTCCCATGATGCTGATTCTCACCTGGAAATAAACATTGTGTGGCTTTTTAATGGGCCCAGTTCTTTTTTCCCCCCGACTCCTTATGTCTTAAAAAAAACAAGCCTGCAAATGTTATTTCTCCCTTGACTGGATGCTCAAAGTGTCAGACTGGCTTTTCTCGGACACCCCAGTGTCAGTGTGTCAGTGTATTTGCCAACAATATAAAGGGAAGTTGGGCCATATCTGGAACTGAATGCAGAATGCCTAGACCCTTCTCCCATACTGCAAAGCCCCAAAACTCGGTCAACCATTCAGCGCATTTATAGAGCTTTAAGAACACAAGATAAGGCAGGCGCGGACTCCTGGCCTTCAAGGAACCCACACTCGCTCCTAGAGAAGCCAGGATGTGAGGTGTACAGTCCAACTCTAGTAACAGGGACCACAGAACACCACAGTGAAGAGCGCAGAGTGTGGGATTCCCAACACAGAGGACACTTCTCACGGATGGCAGAGACTTCATGCATGGGGAGGGTGGCATTTTCAAGGCTTTGCAGGAGCTCAGGGAGGAGCAAGGGCAGGGAAGGAGGGCATTTCGGGGAAAGGGGAGCAAATGGAGGGAGAAAGGGCACAGTTGTACGCAAGCCTAGGACCAGCCGGGAGACTGGCAAATGGGGAGCCCAGCCAGAGAAGGGGTGTGGTCAGAGGCAGAGACTGGGGGCTCCTCTGAGCAAGGAGGGGGATGCATAGAGGGAGGGGGGGAGGGAGGGAGGAGTGGGGGAGTGAGTGAGCCAATGAATAAACACCTTGACCCTCACCCACGTTAGAGCCCGCAGACACCTCCCAGCAGAAACCCTGCTACCTCAGCCTCCCAGCAATAATGGAGCGAGTATTGTCTGTCACGTCATCGGCGGCTGTGACATACACACCAGGAGAGCCTCCTTCTCAGCGCTGTGGTTCTGCCGCTCTTCCTGCAGCTTCTCTTCGTACTGGCTGTACAGCCTCTTGGTCATCTCTCTCATCACCTCGGCGTTGGCTTCCTGGGAGGATTCCACCTACAAAGATGCTCGTGTCAGAGCTCCGGCTTTTGCCGGCTCCAGGGAACCAGCACCTCTCACCGCGTGCGCAGGAGACAGAGCGGCAGGAACTCTTGGGAGGGGAACAGCAAGAAGGTGGGGCTTAGCCGATGGGTAGAAAGAGACAAAGCGGTACTTTACACAAAGACCCTCCACGTGAGTGAATTTTTCAAAAGACAAAAATGTACCTAAGCATCAGCCCTGTCCCCCCAGTTTTGCCACTTTTAAACTGAATTCTCTCAGGGCACCGGCTGGCTCAGTCAGTTAAGGGTCTGACTCAGTTTTGGCTCAGGTCATGGTCTCAAGGTTGTGAGATCCAGCCCCAAGTCTGGCTCCGCGCTGGGTGTGGAGCCTGCTGCAGATTCTCTCTCTCCCTCTCCCTCTGTCCCTCCCCCATCTCTAAAAAGATTTTGAATTCTCTCTAAAATGCGACCATGCTTCACTGTCTTCTTTATCCCCCTTTTTTAAGGACTTTTCCTGCCTAATGTCTTTTGATCTTGAAATTCTATTATCTTTTATGTTACCAATTTTAGCAAACTTTTTTTTTCTGGATGAGATTTCCACACCCGAATTAACCTCAAAAGAGATGCTTTTTTAATTCTGGAGTATTCTGTTGTAGGCTGACAAAAAGATCACTACATCATTAGAGTTGGGTCAGAGTAGGATAAGCAATAAAATTCAAAAATTCGAAGGTTACCTATTGAAGGAAGGAATAAGAGACAAAAGGGGGTATTACAGATATTCTATTTCTGAATATATTGTTTTGTAGATTTGACTCTGAATTAAGTAAATCGTTTATGCATTATAAAAAAAAATAAATTTCAAGAAATTACCTACCAAGACTATTCAATGGGAAAAGAATGGTATTTTTGACAAACAGTGCTGGGACAAATGGACAGCCACATGCAAAAGAACACTGTTAGACGCCTAATGCACCACAGCCAAAAATTAAGCCAAAATGGATCAAAGGCTTAAATGTAAAAGCCAAAACTATAAAACTCCTCTAAGAAAACATAAGGTAAATCTTTATGACCTTTGGTGAGGCAGTGGTTTCTTAGGATACCAAAAGCACACATGACAAAAGATAAACAGAAAGACTTCATCGGTATTTAATATTAAAACTTCTGTGCTTCAAGGGAGTCCATCAAGAAAGTGAAAAGACAACCCAGAAAGTAGGAGAAAAGATCTGCGAATCACGTATCTGGTAACTTGTATCCAGAATATATAAGCAGTTTTTCCAATTCAATAATAAAATATCCAATTTTAAAATGGGTGAAGGCTCTGATAAATTTCTTCTTTGAAGAGATATACAAATGACCTAGAAGCGCATGAAATATGCTCAACATCGTCTGTTATCAGAGAACACAAAACCACAACGAGATACACTTCACCCTCCTGGGATGGCCATCAGCAATGAGGCAGTAACAAGCATCGGTGAGGATGTCGAGAAATCAGAAACCTCACCCTGCTGGTGAGAATGTAAAATGGTGCGGGCATATTTCTAGATTACCTTTCATACAGTTTGGCTCTTCCCCCCCCGCCCCGGCCCACCACATGCATACATTATTTTAAAATTTTGTTATGTCAGAGAAGTGGGGAGGCCTTTGAAGGCAAGTTGCCCACGTGGAGTTGAAGCAGTCCCATTAATTACACTGGCCAAACAGTACCTACGGGAGACTTAAGTTCAGCTCATGTAAGAAATCTGGAGCCAGCCTTTCCATACATTTGTGCCTTCCTAAATATTGCATCTAGAAACATTCTCACCTGGTCTGGGGAACACTCAGCCAGGGACTCCTGGTTCCTGTGCGGGCCCAGCTCAGGAGGGAAGAGAAAGTCAGCGGTACTTTCTGGCTTGTCCGGCAACACACCCCTTTTTTCAAAGCTAACTCTTCTTCAGACACACAGTATATGAAATAATAAAGAAAAGAGCTGCCCTGTTTGAAGTGAGGCAAAGAAGAGCTGATCTACTCTTGAGCAATCTGGTCAGGGTGCTTGTGTTTGGCCAGGCAGACTGTGCGGGCCCAAACCCATGGGGTTACAATCACAGTGACAACACAGTGAAATGTGGCAACCCCTCCCTCCGTGTGAGGCAGCCCCACACGAAGGAGGACCACATGTCCCTGTGTGTGTCCCTAACTCAATTAAAAAAAAATTATTTATTTGAGAGAGAGAGAGAGGGCGTGCAAGCAGGGGGAAGGGCAGAGGGAGAGGGAGAGAGAATCCTCAGCAGACTCCCCGCTGAGCACGGAGCCCAACGCAGGGCTCCATCCCACGACCCTGAGATAATGGCCTGAGCCGAAACCAAGAGTCAGGCGCCCAACTGACTGAGCCACCCAGGCGCTCCCCCCGCAAATCAATTCTTAATAGCACCACTTTCACTCCCAAATGTATTCTGGTTTGAGCAATAGATTATATGGATACAATACCTAGGAGGTACTCTCCCCTAGGATTGCCTACTGCTGTGTTGAACACAATTGGAAAGCCACAGACTTAAGTACGAACAAATTCATTCAGGAAGTAATTTACTGAGTGCCTTCTACGCGCCACCCAGGGGTCTGCTCCTACCAGGGGTAGGAGATCAATCCAGGCTTCACGTCCGGAAGGGGCTCTAACACCTCCAAGGCAGGAGAAGCCCACTGAGGAAGAGGCACAGCCTGGTGGACAAGAGGGACACTGCCTGGAGCCCTCGGTCACCCACGGATCTTCTTCCTGCGTGCTCTCAGGCTCTTTCTTCTCACGCCAGAGAGAAAGACCTTGAGACGTCAGAGAAAATCTAAATAGTGAAGCTTCTGAAGTCCCAGGCCTGTGGGCACCCCCAGGGCCCTCTCAGTATGTGACAGCGGCGCCCTGACAACGGTCTCAGTGGCCCTTGAGGCCGCCGGGGCAGGAGTGCCCACTGGGGGTGTTCACGGGGCACCCCAATCTAGACTGACAGCAGCGAACACAGAAACCCCCTCGGTGCCCTCAAGCCCAGCCCTGTGGAGTTGGCCACAAAAATGTGGGAAAGGAGATGGAATTACCGAAGATGGGAAGAGAGAGGAGAAACAGGAAAGAAGAGAAGGGTCAGGGGGACATCAGTGCTCCCCCACTTTACCTTCATCTTCAGCAGCTGGTTTTCAACTTGCGCTACCTCCAGCTGCCTCTGCTTTTCCCGCAGCTGGCCCATGGATGCTTCGTAGGTCTGCTGCAGATCTCTCATTTGATCCTTAATGCTGCTATTTTCCAAAGTAACATCCACCAGGGTTTTCTAGGGACATGGAAAAGAAATTAAAACCAGATCCGGCAATGTGAGTAAACATGGCCAGAGTCATGCACCGGGACATCCCTTTGTCCTTAACCATTGAAAGAGAGGTCAGGCCCCGGCAGTTGCAAGCCGGGACGCTGGTGTCTGAGGGACTGAGGGTCCCCCCAGCCGTGGGCAAGAGGTCAGCGAGCCTCTGCCCACCCAGCAAGCCTCTGCCCGCTGCTTAGGATGGACGGAAACACCCTAAAATGGAGTCTTTCCAAGGAAAAGTGTTCATAATGCATCATTTCGCATAGAAAAAAATTGAGTTTTGAAAATAGTAAGGCTAGAACAAATCCCATTTTGAGAAGGAAAATGTATAAGCATTTATTCAAATGTGTTTATGCAGAGAAACTTTAAAGACTAGGATGAATTTCACCAAAATCCAAATAATAGGTTATCGCTATGTGGGAGGATTATGGAGGATATCTGTTTCCTTCCCTGTGTCTTCTGTATCTTTCAAATTCCCACAACAAAATCGAAAAACAAAACGTGTTGTGGAGAATGGAGGTCTTGCCCTTCTTCCTTAAAGGGGCCGTCACTGCTGTGTTTGTGGACTGCCTGTCAGCACGGGACAGCACGGCTGAGGTGCTGGTAATGCCTGCAAGGGCGTCTCCTTCCCCTCTTAGAGAACGGTGGTGATGAAGGGGCACCAGGGAGCAGAGTTTGGTGACTCTGGACAGGTGCCTGACAAGCGTCAAAAGCCTGTTGATTACTGCTCCAGGCCACACACTGGAGCAAGAACGATTACATTAATACTGGTGTTAGTTAATGCTTTGGGTTCTACTTGGTCAACTCCTCATACAGAGAATGGCCTCCATAACCCGAATTCTTACCACTGGGGACTGGGTTATGGGCACCATCTACCACCTCCCCAAGTTGTGTTCAACTTTCAAGTTAGACATGGAAACTCTGGTGTTGGACCCATTTTTTAACACCTTTCCTCTTTGTAGATGATCAGTCCCTGAAGCTTCCTCAAGTCCTTAGCCTCCCCTTTGGATAAAAAGCCTCTCATTCCTAAACCTCCTTGAATCAGGAGAAAAGACTTTTGATGGAGGTACACTGACATTAAAGAATATACAGAAGCCATTTGGAAGCACAGAATCAGAAAATATTTGAGCTGCAAGGGGCTTTAGAAACCACCTGGCCCTACCACCCTCTTTCCAAGGCCCGCTGGCTTTACAGATACAACTCTTGTGCTCATGAGCCTACATCTGGACCCAGAGACCAGAGTTCTAATCCTGGCTCTGCTACTTAGCTAGACACCTTGTTCCAGTCATTTCTCTCTGCTGGCCTCAGCCTGTTGATCCATAAAACAAGGGGACTGGAGATCAGCAGTTCCTTCCCATTCTGACTTTCTGTGAAATCAAACCAAGGGTCTGGTCTCACGGTCAATAATAATGAAAATGGGACCATCTGGGCAATGGGAGAGTTCAGGGCCTTGCAGAATTAAGAAACCAACTATCTTCAGACTCACTTGAATTTCCTGGCTGTGATATGGTGCCTTTCTTTTCTTTTTCTCCCTCTTCTTCTTTTTAACAATAATTTTTAATCTTTTCATGATAAAGCTCCTCGGTCTGCCCCGGGCCAAGAGGCTGGACCATAACTAGCAACCAGTCAGGGTACCTGGGTCACCACTGACCCTGTTCTAACAGCTGACCTCACGGCCTGGGGCGCCAGTGGGATGGCAGATCGGAAGTAACGGTGGGGAAGAAAAACCAGAAAGTCAGTACCCGTACCAACCAGGTCTGAGCTCAGGGGAGGTGCAGCATCTCCCAGTTAGCCAGGAGTGAGAAGATGCTCCAGAGAGAAGGAAAGGGAGCCTGGCCAACCCCTCTGGATGGCAGCAGGAAGGGAAAGCCAAGGCTACTGACTAAACCAGACCCAGAGCAGGGCCAGGCTGGAGGCCAGGGGAAACTGGGCGTGCACTAAGAAGGAGCAGGAAAAGGGAGAGGCTCCGAGACCGCACCAGAAATGGCCTCCCAGCCACCGGGGCCCACTGCTGCGCCCACTCTGTGTGGTTGGCACTGCTGCTCTAAGAGCTGTTACTGGACAACATTAGGTTCGTGGGGAAGGGGATGATCCCAACATGAAAATCTGTTTATCTGACGAGTCATTTGCGTAGAACTGGGAAGGACAGTAATAGCCGTGGGACCTTTAAGAGGAGGGTAAAAAGATAAGAGCCAAATGAACTTGGAGGAGAGGCAGAAACGATTGTTTGCATATCTGGAAACTAAAGCCAAGGAAGCTGTTTCTGGTGAATGTTAACACTCTGTCCTGAACACTTCCAGGTTAATTTGCATAGGAGACGCAGGACTCAGCCAGAAGGGTGACAGCGGGTGGCACTGGCCTGGTGAGCTCCCAGCAAATCAGATTACTCACGAGAGCAATCGGAAGCAGAAGTGGATTGACAACACACATCTGGAGGACCCCGAGTCTCTCTGCTTCCCTGTCGGCATGCATAGGATTTCTTTTCTTGCGAAATAATTTCTAAGTTAGGGAAACGTGCTTCACAGCCTCTGGGAGCTCCTTGCCACGCAGGACTACAGACCGCCTGTGATTAAGTCTGTCTGTCTTGTGCCTGGGTGGGGCTTCCTGAAACCGGGGCTACAGGGAGCAGGGGCTGATGTGCTGTTCTAGGCACTGACTCGCAAGACCCACTTGGGTATCTGCTGGAGAAAGGGCCGCCTCTAGCATGGAGCTCAGGATCTAAACTCCCATTTTAACAAAGGCAAAAACAAATTCAACTCAAAGGTTGAGAGCCTCCGCTCGGAAGCACTTCCTTTCATTTCCTTCACGTCGTGGCGGGGTCTTTACTGGGGCCATGCCTGAAGGATCCCGATGCATAATGTTCTGAAGACATCCCGTGACTTGCTTTTCTACAAAGGCACACGGCCCACACCTGGTGAGACGTGCCTGCCCCCGCAACAGAGGGCCCCCAGGCTAACGGTGAGCAGATGAGTACCTGCAGGCCGATGGAGTCCGACGTTAAGGCTGAGTTCGTGGCATTAAAACTGTCCAGGGCCGACGACTGTGCCTGGACATGATTCTCGAGATATTCCTGCCGAGCCTGGGAAGCCTGGGCAGAGGATGAGGTAGTTACACAAAGCCCTATATACCCGCAACAAGTTTCAGTTAGGCTAGAACCTTCTCCTGATAGTTCAAGTAGAGCTTAAGATTACAAAGTCAACATCTGCATGACCCAGAGAGGGGAAAAACATGAACACTTTTCCTTCACATGTCCCCCCGCAGGGCCTCGCTTGGTCCTCACAACGCATGCGGCAGCCAGAACACCCCCCTTTATATGGTGGAGGAAACCGAATCCGAGGAGGTCAGGGATTTGCACACCAGCAGCTGAGAAGAGGCCCTGCTGCGCCTAGGACCCAGTTGGAACATCTTCTCCTGCCATCTAAGAGCTCTTCTTACTCATCACGGAAAGAACATACGTGGGGCTCACGCCCTTCTCAAGCGTGTTATGGGGCTGCCACTGCTGTTGTGTGGTCTTTGCTGGGCGTGCGTGTTTAGCACGTTGGAGACGCTTTCATCAGAGAGAGTTCCAGCAGTGTCATGCCAGACGTGCAAGAAGGGCTGGCTATACCGCAGCAGGAGGCAGGGGAAGTAGAGGTAAGGGCTCGGGGTAGGCTCAAGGGTGGACGCCCGTGGGGTGTGTGGGCCCACGGAACGGGCGGTGGCCTGTGTGGGGGGACCTGTCCCTGCGGGCCGGTGAGAACAGGCTGGGCTGGGCGGCTGTGGCGCGTTTATCTGCCCCCACCCCTATAATCAAGGCCATGGCTCTTGCTTCAGCAGATCACCGCCCAGCCAAGCCACGCGCCAAACTCTAAGGCAAGACTGTTGCAACCGTGCTTCCTTCCTACAGATATTTACCTTTATGGAAAGTGTGTCATATGTACGTGCACTTTTTTTGCTTCAACATTATGAATCACAAGTATAAAAAAAAATTTTCTTTCCTCACAGGCATTAGCTTGTTTAAACCAGAGGAATGTTATTTTTTCTTAAATTCAAAAGTAATACCTTCACGTAGTTCAAACGTTTACAAAATATAAAAGGTAGACACTAAAATAAATCAATCACTCCTGTCCCATCTGCTCAGGTACCACCTTGCCCGCTCTGCCCCTCAACTAAGAATCACGGTTAATTGGTTTCTGGATTATCCTTCTAGTAACTACTTTTGCACCCACAGAACTATCTAACCATACTTATTTTCCCCTCCTGTTTTACACAAGTGGTAGCTCACTGTACATATTTCCTTGTATCTCTTTTTTTTTGTTTGTTTACCATTTACTCTGTGTCTTTGAGATCTTTCCGTATCTCTTTCTGAGGAGCTTACTTGCTCTTTTTATTCTTACCTCCCCCTCTCCCATTCCCTCCTCCTCATTTTTTTTAAAGATTTATTTTTAGAGAGAGAATGGGGGCACGGGGGGGCAAAGGGAGAGAGACTTAAGCCTTAAGCACACTCCACACACAGCGCAGAGCCTGATGCAGGGCTCGATCCCACAACTCTGAGATCACAACCTGAGCAGAAATCAAGAGTCTGATGCTCAGCTGACTGAGCTACCCAGGAGCCCCCTTCTTTTTTTTAGTTCTGTGTTTTCTATTGGAGAGTGGTAATTTATTTTACTTTCCCCCTTTTTTTTTGTTTTTTTTTTTTTTTTTTTTTTTTTTGGACAGAGAGAGACAGTGAGAGAAGGAACACAAGCAGGGGGAGTGGGAGAGGGAGAAGCAGGCTTCCCGCCGAGCAGGGAGCCTGATGTGGGGCTCGATCCCAGGACCCTGGGATCATGACGTGAGCCGAAGGCAGACGCTTAACGACTGAGCCACCCAGGTGCCCCTTACTTTCCCCTTCTTGATGGACATTTAGGTCTCCAATCTTGTTACTGTTGCAAACAATGCTGTGATACCTAAGCTCATACATACGTCATTTCACATGTGAGAGTTTATAGAATACATTCTTCAGAACAGAATTGCTAAGTCACAGGATAGAGGCCTTTGCAGTTTTGTAGATACTGCCAAACTGCTCACCCTCAGAGGGATTCAGAATTACGTCCTACCCGGCCATCCGCCTGTTCTCCACAGCACTGCTAGTTGTGTCTTGTCCACTCCTACAGGGATGCCAGTCTCATAGGTAAAACTTACATCTCAGGATGGTTTGACTGACTTTCTCTTACTGAGAATGAGGCAGAGCATCCTGTCAGACATTTAAGAGTTCTTCATCCTTCTTTTACTATAAGTTATGTATAACAAATATTTTCCCTATTTTTATGAGTTGTGGCCTTTTCTTCTTGATGTCTCTACACTCTTTAAATACTCAGAAAATTAGCCTGTTATCTAGGATATGACGGGCAAATCATTTTTGCTAGGTTTCTCATGGGACTTTGGTGTTTTTGCCAGCACATCTTTCATTTCAGTGTAGTCAAAGTTACGAAACTTTTCCTTTGCAGTTTTGGGATTTCATGTCAGAGTAACAGAAAGTCTTCCCCATCCCAAGAGTATAAAAGAACCCACAGAAGTTTTCTTCTGGCACTTTTAAATATCATCTTCAGAATTTAAGTCTTTGATCTCTTTGGAATTCCTCCAGATATAAGTCTGTCATGACAGCATATAAGTTGTCCCCATGGCATATACTGACTTGTCCATTTCCCTGCCTTTATCTGAGTTGCTACCTTTATCATATATTGGTGTACATTTCCGGGCTTTTTTCATGGATGCTTATTTATTCATGTGTCAATATGATACTGTCCTAATCTTTGAGGCTCTCTCAGCTTCTTGTAATATTAGTAGAGCTAGTCTTCCTCATTGCCTTTTTTCCCCCAGAATTTCCTCAACTCTTCATATTTATTTTCTGTATACTGTGGAATCTTCTAGTCCAGTTGTAGAAACAGCATAAAAATCTCTTGGCACTTTTATGGAGTTACATTACATTCATACACTAACCTGAACAGTACTCACATCTTACGAAGTTGGCGCTTCCTGTCTAAGCACATGGTATGTCTTTCCTCTTGGTGCAGTTTACTCCTAGATATTTGGTAGTTTTCTGTTGTTCTTATTTCTTCTTACCAGTTGTTTTTCGTATACTGAAATCTATTTGTTTGTATCTATTAATTTTTTTACCCTACTACCTTACAAAATTGTTTTTTATAAGTTTTTTTTTTCATTGGTTCACTTGTGCTTTCTGGGTATATAGTCATATAGTTTGTAACAGTGACAGTTTTACATCTACCTGTCCAGTTTTTATACCTCTAAATTCATTTCTCTTGTTTAATTCCATTGGCTAGTCTCTCAGGTACAATGGTAAATAGTAACGATGATAGCTAGCTTCCTCGTCTTATCCCTGACTGTGGAGGGAATGCTTTGAATGTAAAGATTATTCTTGCCACAAAAACATCCCTTTAAATAATAAACTTAATTCTGTGATAAAATTCCCTCAGTTCATTTAAAATATGATTCCACTCGCGAAGAACATCATAAACTCAAATATGTTCAGGCACCAGCCACTCAGAGGGAGTGCTAAGCCCTACCACCCCTCCATATTTCCAAGTCACTGAAATATTCACTTACTGACAATTCCTGGGTGAGCTGTCGAATCTTCTGTCTCATTTCATCATAGTCTCCATACATTCGCTTCCTTACTTTTTCCAAAGTGGCTCTCACCTGCAGCCCACAGAGACGCTAGTTAGAGATCAAGCTATAACATTTTCATGTGAAGTTTGCTGAAACCCAAATGACAGGAGGGCCCCACAAAAAAACAATTTTAAGAACATGACAGTTTGGGGGATGCCCGGGTGGTTCAGTCGGTTAAGCGTCTGCCTTCAATTCAGGTCATGATCCCAGGGTCCTGGGATCAAGTCCCGCATCGGGCTCCTTGCTAGGCAAACTTCTGCCTGCTGTTCCCCCTGCTTGTGCTCTCTTGCTCTCTCTCTCTGACAAATAAATAAATATTTTTAAAAATATAATAACAACATGACAGTTTGGGAGATTAAGTGAGAAAATCACTCCTAATATCTAGTTAGAAGCCAAGAGAATTATCCAAATAATACCAATAATGATAAATATACCTTATGATTATATATGATTATAATTATTAACAAAGGTTAATTATCCAAATAATAAGCTCTGAAGAAAAAATGGTTTGTTGAAATTCAGCTATCACCTATCAAAACACATTCAGGCAAGACTTACCCCTTTTCCTATCGTGCATTTTTATAAGTAGAAAATTTATAACAAGTCGGCTCTACAAACAGGTGGCTAGCAGAACCAAAAAAACCCAAACCAAAAAGCAACCTCTAATTTTCCCTGTCTCTGCTCTGACTACCAAAGAGCAATATCTGGAATATACAGCAGGGAAGTATGAGCTTAGAGAGACCATAAATTTGAACATTAGTTCCTCAATAATCACCAATAATACACAAGGCACAAAATATAACAAAGGTCAGGGTGATCCCCTAAACACCTGTTTACACAACCACTGATTAAGTTCCTCTATAGCAGCGCTTCTGAAGGAGTAACCAGGTCCTTAAAAATTTTATAAATAAAAACAAAAAAAACCTTGACACCATCTCCTCCCTTCCTCTGCTGCCCCTCTGATGGAGAGCTCAGGGGTCCTCAAATAGAAAAGAAGTCTCGGGCGCCTGGGTGGCTCAGATGGTTGAGCATCTGCCTTCGGCTCGGGTCATGATCCCAGGGTCCTGGGATCGAGTCCCGCGTCGGGCTTCCTGCTCCTTGGGAGCCTGTTTCTCCCTTGGCTTCTCTCTCTCTCTCTCTCTCTGTCCCTCATGAATAAATAAATAAAATCTTAAAAAAAAAAAAAAAAAAAGAAAGAAAAGAAGTCTCAAGGGAGCCCTCTACAGAGAGCTCCAGAACTTTTACCACAGAAAGGGCTGGAAGGCAGCAGTTGGTTGGGATAAGGGGTATGTAGGGGACAGCAAGGCGGGGGGGGGGGGGAGAGACTTCACCATGAAGCTGTATTTGCATAGCCAGCACATGGTTTTAAATCAGACTGCATGTTTATTAGGGCTTACTGCATCTTGGTGAAGGTTTCGGCAGCAGGGTCCGAGTCAAGGTGCCAAGCCTTCCCTAAATGAATTCTGATAACAGAGTCTACTTTCGTGCTGTTATCTACAAACATTTTGGGAAAATGAGGCCCAAAACACAACTCTTCACACTGGGCAGACAGAATGGCTTTCACTGTGGCCCTGAGTTGGCGCTCATGCTGCTCACCAGGGTGCAGTGGGCTGGCTCTCAAGCCGGGTGGCAAATACTTCAGGAAGCCAGCTGGGCCAGGCTCACTCATGGCAAGAGAGAACCAACAACCCCATAAACATGCTTCGGGATAAGCAGGCCCGGGGTGGATCTGAAGTCACCTGTAGAAAGTGGGACTTGGAAATTAACTTTAAGTTGCAGGTCCCAGTGAAGGCTGGTAATTCAGGCCAGAACCACCCCTGTGTCCTAGGCACACGTCACCCCTGGTTCACAACCAGCCTCCACCTGCTGTTTGTGTCTTGGGCAACTGGCGACTCTCAGCTGTGCTTCAAAGGTTTACATCTGAAGCAGTAACATGTTATCTAAGATATATGAGAAGGGACTAAGTATTTCCATGAGAAAAACGGGGAGATGAGGAATGTTCCTGTTGCTTCTATATAGGAAAAATTATTAAAAGTCGTATCTGAGGGGTAGGATGAGTAGGGATTTGAGGCTGGTGGTTGTCACACTTGTCCTGCGCTTTTGTGTGTGTACCTTTTCGGTTTTTTTCATTTTCTCTGTTAAGCCTTTATTATTATTATTTTTAATCAAGACGTTTTTATTCCTTTTAATTATGTAAGTATCCAAATCTTTCAAGACTCATGAAAGAGGGTGCCCAAAATAGTTATTATTTTTAATATTTGATAAGAGATGTTCTTTTAAAAAAATCCCTACGAAAGCTGACAACATGACTTTGTGTCTTCTCTGCAAACACTCCAAATAAAAAGCTGGCAGTTTTGACTTCAGGGGTCCCCTCCCAACCTCCACAATCTATACAGGAAAAAACTGAAGTGCAGAGAGAACAAAAGCTTGGCTGGGCCAGACACAGAGGTGGACATTGAACCGAGGTCCAGCGGGTACCCCACTGCCCCACACTGTTCTGCTCCTCCACATGAGCACTTTCTAGTCCACAGGCTGGTGCTTAGGGCCCATCAGTGTCAGAGAAACTCATTCCCTCTCCATCTAATCACACTGATTTGGTCAACAAAGGCACTGGGAGGCCAAAGAACCAAAAAGGAATGGAGGTGGGTGGATGGATGGATGGATGGATGGATGGATAGAGAACAGATGAAAAGAAATGAAAAATTTAGAATTTAGAAGGAAATGCTCCTTAACCATCTAATTAAATGATGGAATTGTGGATGGTTTTATTTTCTTATTATACATTTTTGTATTTTCCAAATTCCTTTGAAAAAAGTGTGTAATTAAAAAACTAAGAAATGTAATATTAAACATGAAGAAATGACATTGATTGGCCTGAGATGGACAGTGTCTACTGTGTTTGACTTCTCAGCATCTGTTTCAACACAACTGATTGGTCTGAACCAGCCATAATCAATTCCATTCCCCTCACCAGGGGATCCATCCAGGGATGGATTGGGAATGGGCATGTGACCCAATCCTGGCCAATGAGACATGAAGAGAAGCCTAATAAAGGGCCTCTAAAAAGAAACAAGAGATAAGTGGCTTCTTTTCTTCCTCGAGACACCATGATATTTTCAGATGATGCCACGAGCCTGAAGCTGAAGGACAGAACCAAGGGAAACTCAGACAAGTAGGAAGGGAGTCTGGACGTGCCCTGGTCAGAGCCTACCTACCCCTACACATATCCCCACACGAGACAAATTTCCTTTCTGAGTTGGCTTCTCTGTTCCTTACAACCAAAAGCAACCAAATGTATACAGTTTTTGAAACTCATGTGCTGGGAATGGAACGTCCAACATAATAAGCAAAAATCACTTAAAAGCCTCCATATTATACACGGAAGATGGGAGTTATTTGGTCTCCTGAGCATCCCTTAGTCACCTCCAGCAGTTCACTCTAGACCTCACTGCAGAATTACATCTGCACCTTTAACATTACTGTGAAGATATGTAGAAACATTTCCATCCAAAATGGTAATGCTAGGAATTCTTCCAAAAGGCCTTATTACATTCATGTCCATGCTTCCCACTCCACCGTCTCACATGCTACAAAAGGAGTAAACAAAACAAACAAACATCCTTAAATGACTCACGTCTCTGATGTAGTTCATCTCTTCTTTCAGCTGATTGGTGGACCACCCGTAAACCACCATTTCCTTCTGCTCATTTGGATCCGATCTCCGCACCACGCCGTAGACAACACCCTGAGGAAGTTTCCTGGTTGGCTCCCCATTGCTTAGGTCAAGGTGCTTCCAGAAGGGAGAAAAGAGTAAAGAATAATGACTGTTTAGGCCTCGTGGGAGCAGCTGTGAGAAGGGGTACACTGGGTCTGGGCATGCGGGCTGTGCGGGCACTGAGGAGCGGGTGGCAAGGAGGGGCCGGAGGAGACCCAGCCACTCACCCTTCTCCCGCTTGCACCTGGCCTGGGCTGGGCCAGCTTTTGCCCTAGAGGAAGGGCATCTTTCTCAAATTTCTACCGAAGCCCTATCCACCCATCTAAGAGTGCATCTGCAGGGCCCCTCCGTCCCGGACGGGCGCCCTTCTCATTCTCACGAAGGTGCCAGATGGACCTGTGTCGTCCCTTCAGAACGAGAGCAAGTGTCTGCACTCTCACAGTCCTGATGTCCTGGTCATGCTGCTTTTCCCCACGATATCAGTTCCTCTGGATACCTTCAACCTCATCGTGCTAAATATGACCCTTGAAATGCATGAGGTTGACATACTGCAGGAAGAATGCTGGCTGCCCTCTGGCAGCCAAATTGTCCCCTGAGGGTAGGACTGACCCTGGATCAGCTCTGAGCAAAGGAGGGCAGGGGGATGAGTACACAGCCTGTTGTGACCATTCATGAAATATTTCTGAAAAGCCAGGCAAAAGAACCTTCCAGCACCTTAATTCCTTCACCTAAAGCTTTGATTGGTGTTGAAATGCAAACGCCCTTGGGAAGGGGTAATATATCCAAGTCCTAACACACCTTTATAGAATGAAGGCTCAAGAAGCCCGAGAAAGGGAAATTAAGATTTGTTCAGCTTCTACCATAAACCAGATACGTTCCTTAGCACGTTGAATCTTTACAACCACTCTGGGACAGAGCGATGAGCCTCTCCGCTTGATAGCTGAGAAAACCAAAATTCAGAGGGGTTAAATAGCTTGCTTCCAGCCACATATCCAGATTCAAGGCCGATTCTCTGACACGAAGTATACCTCCCCATACTGCAGGCTTTGTTAGGTGCAGGACACCAGAGTAAGAGCCCCCATGAGGGAGAAGGAAGGGCAGGACAAAACCAGGGACTGAGAATTCATAGACAAACCAACCTACATCCAGTCTCCCCTGGGGCTGACGCTGGTACCTTGATAATCACAGTACAGAAACCTGAATTCCATAATGGCAACTCTGCTCTCCCACTAATTTTTTATTTTTTTAAGATTTATTTATTTAGAGAGAAAGAGAAAAAAAACATGAGTGGAGGAGGGGCAGGAGGGGGAGAGAGTCTCAAGCAGACTCTGTGCGGAGCCCGACTCAGGGCTCAATTCCACAACCCTGAGATCACAACCTGAACTGAAATCAGGAGTCGGATGCCCAACCAACTGAGCCACACAGGTGCCCCTCCCACTAATTTTTTTTTTAAGATTTTTATTTATTTATTTGAGAGAGTGAGAATGAGAGATAGAGAGAGCACATGAGAGGGGGGAGGGTTGGAGGGAGAAGCAGACTCCCCACTGAGCGGGGAGCCTGATGCGGCACTGGATCCCAGGACTCCAGGATCATGACCTGAGCTGAAGGCAGTCGCTTAACTGACTGAGCCACCCAGGTGCCCTCTCCCACTAACTTTTAAACCACGTTGCATAAATTCCTTCCATGTACCTGCAAAATATTTTTGGCATACAAAATTGTAATTTGCATTTTATTGTATTTGTTTTTTAAAGATTTTATTTATTCATTTGAGACACAGAGATAGAGAGAGAGAGAGAGAGAGCATGAGCGGGGCGAGAGGCAGAGGGAGAGGGAGAAGCAGGCTCCCTGCTGAGCCAGGAGCCTGACGTGGGGCTCGATCCCAGGAAGCTGGGATCATGACCTGAGCCGAAGGCAGACGCTTAACCATCTGAGCCACCCAGGTGCCCCTGTAATTTGCATTTTTAAAATCATTCATTTGGGCAGAATAAAAACTTTATGATTCCATTCATTTAAAGTTTGTCAAAGAACGGTCTAAAAAGATACATGACAAATTATTAATAGTAATGACCTCTAAGGAGGGGACGGTGTAGGGGGGCAGGGGTACTGGGTATCAGAACATCTTTCAATTCTTTCTTTATACCCATTTGTATTGCTTGTCTGTCTAGGATTGGAGCTTTAAAAAAAAAACTAGAAAACAAAACATCCATTGCTTCCCACCCTTCGGTACATATTTGGCAAGAGATGGGCTATGAGGGGCTGTGACACTCTGTATCTGTTTCCAGAAAATGATTCCGCTTGAGTCCTTGGTGCTTGGGCCCCACAGGCACTAAAGCAACTCTTGAAATTTGTATATAAATTTAGGTGGAGAGGCTGTTCCATGGCTCTTGGTGGAGTGACAAGTTGGGATTCCAGACCCCCAGTTTCCCAGACATATAATTAGGAAGAGGAAAAGCTCTAATGCAACTCCCTGCATACCAGGCAACAAAAGCATGCTCTTTCAGTCAGACTCCACCCAGTTCCTGAAAAACAAGCTAATGAGGACAGGAGGCTTTGGTGAAAGGCATTTCTGCAAGTAAAGTCTTTCCCAGATGGACTGGGTTTCAGGAAAATGCTCAGGTGGCCACATACAGAGGACTCTGCCTCCCTGCCCAGTGGAGGGACGAGGACCAGCAGCCGTGGAGGAGAACACACACAATGTCACAGACAACACAACGAGGTCTGCGAAACACAGCTCTAGACGTGGTGGCTCTCACAGTTATGCACGGAAAGACATTGAAGATCTGCGAAGTGAAAAACAGTCATTTCCATATTCCTGGGTTTTGTTTTTAACATGTATGTTTGTGTGCATAAAACATCCAGAAGGATGGAATCCAGACTTTTAATACCAGTGGCCTCAGTTGAAACGGGATTTCATTTTTCTGCCCCTTATGCTTCTGTAGGTCTGATTTTTAGCCAGAAAAAAAAAGGAGGGGGTGTTATCTTTGAATGAATAACTTTCATTTCAGTTTTCAAAAAACTAAAAAATTACTACAAAGCCAAGGATAAATAAAAGAGCCCAGAGAAGGGCCTGGCCCAGGACTCTGGTCAGGAGCGGGCCATCCTCATGGGCCGCTCCACACCGAGAGGGTTCCCAAGGCAGCATGAGCAGCTGCAGCACTGTTTATGAAGAGCGAGCAGGGGACAAATATTGGTTGTCTCTTTTATTACACAGCATCTTCTTTAATCCCCACAGTAACCCTACCACATAAATATTATTAGTTCTCCCAAGGTGGCGACATTCAAGCGCCTGAGTACATCTTCCCAAATCTAAGCTCTTCCCTTTGACCACAAAGCCTTCAATAGCTACGAGTCAGGAGTGAAACGGAATCTCACGTCTCTATGTGGTAGCCCAGACCTCAGGGGCAGGGAAGCCAAGAGCCAGGGCCCCGGGCCGGTCAGGGCCACTGGGAAGAGGCAGGCTCAGCATGGGGAGGCTCCTGGGCTCCATCTTCCCCTATGCCCCGCCCCCCCACCTCCTTTCTGTTCCTTTATCAGTCAACCTCCTTCTTGTCACAGGGCATTACATGGGCCATTCCCTCTGTGTGCAGTGCCCACTGCTGGGCTGAAATGTCTCTCCCTCAAGGACACCTTCACTCAGACTGGTTAAGTCCCTACACCTTCACCACAACCATAACAGAGTGACTATTAGTATCATCCTATACGTAAGGTCTGCTCGCCCATCCACTGGGCCTTGTTGGTCTTCTTTTCCATCACAGTCTCTGACACCTAAGTGACCGACAATGAATTTCTCAATAAATATTTGCTAAATGGAGAGGGAGCTTTAGAAGTTGGAAGAAATTCTGGGGACTTTTCCAGATTATGTAAATATGGTCCAGCTGAAGGGAACATCCTCTGCTCTTCTTAGATGGAGGGACAGGGAGCTGATGTTTGCCCCGGTCATAAAATCTCTATCCAGAGGAGTTGCAAAGGAGCCCAAGACTGCTATCGTTCTGACAAAATGTCAGTATGCTTTTGGTGAAAAACTGGAGAACACAGAAAAAAATAGAAAAAAGTTGACATGTTTAGCACGGTGTCTGTGGCAGAATATTTTTCCTCTCAGGTCCTTTAAAATATCTCCCTATAAGATAAATATTAGTTTTTTAGGCATGATAACAGCATTGTGATTGTATTAAGAGAGAGCCTTTATCTTTCAGAGAAACATGCTTAAATATTTATGATATCTGGGATACAGGGTGGAGGAAGTGGATGAGAGTACAGACCAGGCAGGACTGAGCCTGGGTTGAGGGTTCTGGGGCGGCTGGGTGAAGGGTCAGTGATTCATCACACCATTCAGTCTCCTTTTGTATACGTTTGAAATTCTCTGTAATTAAAAGTTGGGTTGTTTTTTTTTTTTTTAAACTTCTTTGTAAAACTGCTTGGTCGGTATTAAAATATCAAATTCTTAAAAACGTACTAGGCCTACGAAAAGCCTCCTGGGCAGGAAACAATACGAGGCAAAACTGCCTTGAAAACCAAAGCCCTAACAAATGCACAAAACAAAAAGAAAGTCAGAGCCAAAGAAAGGAAAAAGTACCAGCCAACTGAAAGGCATCCCGTAACCCATACGTGAAATGCAGCGGAATTAACAACAAGCGGAATCAGAGAAACGTACGGAGAATCTCGCAGTTAAACTGTTCCCTGGGCTGTACTCATAGCTGAAAACTTACTTACGGGCTCGTGCTATTTTCCCCAGAGATGAATGTAGTGGAAAGTGCCTTAGAAAGAAGGACAAACTACAGAAAAGGAACTTCACCTAAATTCCTGCCGCAAGGGCTTTCCGGCTGCTGGAGAGCTAGACCATATTTCCCAGAATATATGATCTTCCAGGAGATAAGCTCCGTAACGCAGTGACTGGATCTGCCGCATTCACTGCTTTATCCCCAATACTCAGCATAAAGAGATGCTCAATAAATACATTTTGAAGGGAGGGAGGAAGACAGAATATTTGGAATTGGGTCTATGTCAGAAGATTTGTAGCATCTGGTCTTCCAAAACACTGATCTGTGCAAAGGAAGACAATCCTTTGGTCAAGAAGG